AATTCCTTGTAATAATATTCTGTCAGATTAAATCGATGATTGCTTTTTTTACTATATATTACCATTACTCTCTACGACTGTTCATGGCTAAATAAAACCTACAGTGTTATAGGAAGTCTGATGAAGACATAGTGTAAGCTCCAGAACAGAAATTTTTCAATACTAACTATTTTCAATTATAGACTTAAATACATCTTCTACTTACAATTTTCATTCAATTCTGAATGAAATGTTTGACAAGAATAAGAATGAAATTATTTTCTTTGTGACATGTATATTATGCCAATAAAGAGCAGTGTTGAGCACTTCCACATACAAATATATTACACAAAGTAAATACATGTGTAGTGTTATGGTGACTCAGAAGGGTGTTTTAGACACAGATATTTTCAGTGAATTGTCTCTCTGCTGTTAATTAAGTAATAATGGTCTATATGTATATCTTGAACATTGATTAAAAAGGCATCTTGAATTCTTAATGATATTTTATTGTTTAAAGCATTAAATGCATAAACAAATTATGAAATATTCATTTACACAACACTATCTTAGGTTTTTACACAACACTATCTTAGGTCTTTACACAACACTATCTTAGGTTTTTACACAACACTATCTTAGGTTTTTACACAACAATATCTTAGGTTTTTACACAACACTATCTTAGGTCTTTACACAACACTATCTTAGGTTTTTACAAGACAATTAATTAGGTTTTAATAGACTGCAAGACATTCTATTTATGTGTCTCTGTTTCTGTGATAATAAAAATATGTCATAAAATATTGTAGAATTGCACAGCAAGAAAATTTACAGTGAGAATGTTAGAATATCTGTTGATAATGAACACTAATGGCCCTACAAGTTTGATACCAGCACTTCAAAATTTTATAGAATCCTGTTATATATCATTCTTCATGATGAAGGAGTTAGAAAAAGCTCTACAACTACAGGTATACTGTGGTTGTCATGGGAGACAGACTGACTCTACCTGTGAGGTTGTATACAGGTGTACATATATTGTATATATGACAGGTGTAAACTACCAGTGACATCTACCTGTATATTGTAAACAGGATACAGTTTGAGTAGGTTACATAAGAAAACAGTATACAGAGATGGTTTTTATCTCACCCATTACTGAGAGTGAGATCAGTCAACTGTCTGTATCATGATCACAAGTTAATTTTTTATCATTTACAACATATTACACAGTTACTATAAATAGAGAATATATATATAACTTATGTTACAGCTGTTTACATCACAGAAATATAAGATTGTCTCTGAAGATTAACAGTGTTGTATGTGCACTTTCCATCAGGTGTGATTTTAATAGTTATCACTAGGTATAATTTTGATATACTTGCATACAGGTGTAATTTTGATACACTTGCCTTCAGGTGTAATTTTGATACAATTGCATACAGGTGTAATTTTGATACACTTGCATACAGGTGTAATTTTGATACACTTGCATACAGGTGTAATTTTGATACACTTGCATACAGGTGTAATTTTGATACACTTGCATACTGGTGTAATTTTGATACACTTGCATACAGGTGTAATTTTGATACACTTCTCCATAGGTGTAATTTTGATACAATAGCTCGCCTACAGGTGCTCTGGTTCTCCCCAAGTTAGATTGTATAATTAAAGGCCTCCGGCCATCTGATCCAATATACATCAAACTAATATAAACTTGTGCTCACTCACATGCAACATATTTACCTACCATCATATGATACAAATATAAACATAAATAAAACATCATAAAATACAATAAAACAATTTGGGACTGAGATATTTGAATCCTGGCCATGATTTTTCATGTGGGAAATGGAACCCTATCAAAATTTTTGAAATAGAGTTTTGGACTAAAAAATTTACAAATGAAAGAAATTACAGTAGTTATTAGTGATATTCCTATTAATATTCTATATATTTACAGTAATTAAGTGTTTCCTCTGTCAATGTCACGAAGTGACCTGCTGTAGTCTAGATCTAGTGTCATATACATGGTGTCATATACAAAATGTAAGCTATACATACATACACATAGAGATTATAGTCCTATAAATACCATTTATTTCTTCATGGTGGTGTTCATGTACGGACTGTAGTGAGAAATCTTTGAATAGCGAACTAACCAAACCAAAAACTTAACTGAAGTAATTCTATACTAAACTGTTGTACAGGATTTAATGTCATGTTTACGTTTCAGTATCCTAACATTTTAAATGTTCTGCTTTCCTCCTTAAAGTCTTCTTTGATGTTGATAGAATATCTACTACACCAGTGTAGAGTGAAAGGTAGTGTTTGCTTCATCATACTGCAGTCAGCTGTTTATTTGTCAAATCCATGGAAAAATTTGTTTTTGTGTTCATTTTAAATATGACCAGATGATATATATAAGACATGTTGTTAATTTCAATATGTATACATTAATCATGACATAAATCTTCAAGTATGGTATTTGATTTCTGCTACAGAGAACCCAGAGGGGACCCAACACAACACTTTTACGCAAAATATGGGGTGGGCTTATTGCAGGTCAATGAATTTTAAGTATCAATATTATATATATATATGTAATAAACAGTAGATATGGATGGATTTATACCAGCCATGCACTTGTAGCCAGATAAATGGAAGCAAAAACACTGAAAACGTTTTTTAACAAGCTAACAAGGCTTTAGAACGCCATCGTCCACAACAGAAGCCGAGTTATAACTGACCCGATCCTTACACCTTCAACACACGCTTAAAAAATCTGATAAGACTATGGTACGAACCTATCACAAGCTTTTACTGAAGGTTGAAGCACCTTACCACAAGTTATGTATCAACCAGTACTCTAGCCCCCTACAACAATACAGTGAAGTCAGTGTGTAGATTTGGTGTATCTATATGTACTGGGTAAGAAAGTAACAGTGTACTTGTCAGAAACAGGGAAATTTTCAGAAACTTTAATACTTGGAAAACACATATTTATAATTAAGCCCTAAAAAAAATCATAACTTGTAGGATTTGAATATAGTACTTTATATATAATTAGGTAGGTTCATATATCAAGATCTTGTTACTATCATGAACTCTCACAGTGAAACTGAATGACCTGTAATTTAATGGATCAGATACTTTTGTCCTGTACTCGTGTTTCCTGTTAAAATGATCATGACTGGAAAACATTTAAAAAATGACATCTCCACTTAAGAAATATATTTGAAAAGGTACACTGGACTCATCTGAAAATTTACAATTTATTTCATTTACAATAACATAGCACACAATGCTCTACTGACCATCTCTCTTTGTGGTCTCAGTCGTCTAAACTATTTTGAACAGATGTACACTGTATTTGTAAATTATGAAACCATACACATCTCATACATAATTCTTTTTCCAGTTAGAAATTGAATTATGATATGTGTATAACGTTATACATGTACAAAGAACAAGCCTAGTGGCATTTTAACAAATTCTATATCATTCTGTATCAAGCTCTATTTTCATAATAAATATTGTATGTTTTGGTATAAGCCTGACATATTATCTGTTGGTCTGGGTGAAGCCAGACTCAGTGACTTGGGATGGAACACTCCCAGATGTACATATGATACAGATGTTGCTGAGTTAGTGATGTCAGTTATCACTTCTGTTCCAGCAACAGTCGTTTACACGTTTGGAAATTTAAAGGATTAATCATGATACACTCTATCAAAAAATGAAAAATATATATGTTTACCAACAGATGTTTTAAGCATAAATGTAAATCTTGTAAAATGCATCCAACTACTTTATACTAATAGCTGATATAAAAATAAACATTTCAATCAAATCTCACTGGTCATGTACTATATCATTGTGTTTCATTAATTCAACCCTTTTAAATACATAATGCCATCAAATGTCAAATTTAGAAAATACCAACATGTCAAAATAACTATAATCCAAATTCAATTTCAATAAAATCAGAACGAAAGAAAGATCTACACTGAGACTCTTAAACTTTATTGACAGTAACCCCCCCACACACACACATTAGTATAGTGTATCACACACTTGTTTAGGAAGGAAAGGAAGAATAGCAGTGATTTTTGAGAATCAAATATTTGAGTTCTGGTCAAAGACTCATGCATTTCCTGTGCAACTCATTCAAACTTTGAGAACCAACTTCTATCTCTAACTGCAGGGGTTTCCCCCGACACCCTCAAATTAATGAACTGTAGGAGCCAGGGGACTCGCAGCATGTTTGAAATAGAATAAAACTTCATTAAATTTGGGGGTCCTTTGCCAATGTATTGGGTCAAAATGACAGTTTTGGGAGTTCAGAATTCTGTAACTAGACATCAAAACTTTTGAAGTTAGTGCTTTGGGAAAATTCTACAAAAAATACTGGAGTAGGCATTTGTATGGTATTACCAGGGGTAGTGATTTTCTGATCTACTTATACTTGATAACCTAATTAAGTTAATTACATCGGCTGCGGGCATGTATTGCTGCTGTCTTTGAAAGTCATTATCAGTAACCTCTCCTATTTCTACCTATTCTGTCTTCAACTAAGTTAAACTAGAATCATCAATATTGGTGATGGTAAACAGACGAATAAGCCATCTAAATCACATTAGTTCTATCAAGCTTGACATGTATACATGACTGTGATCTAAACATGTATAGTTTGTACACAAAATTATCTAAGTCGATCAGAAAATATTTAAATCTTAATTACTTACGGGCTTCAAATTATCTGATATTTGAAGTCATCAGTATCAGATCAGAAAAATTGTCATTGAAGAAACAAATAGAAAAATGGAAGCTGCTACATACTTCTCTGTATGTTTTGAAACAACATAATAATCGGCTATCAAGAAATGTCTCAAATAACTGGATAACAGATGCCAAGAACAGCAGAACAATATTTACAAGAAAAAAGTTTTTAGGAACAGAAGAGAATAAAAAGTGACCCGCAAAATCCTTTCAATTAAATCACTCACCTAGCGTTTGATCGTCTTGATTACAATGACGTTTATTAATTCACTTTTCAGGAGGGCAGGACCAACGCCCAAATATGTTCCTTTCGTCGCCCGAGTGAGTTGATAACCTTTCTATGAGTAATCCACCATCACTTCGTAACAAAATGGCGACTCGGTTGTTTATCGGCTATTAAAGTTCTACCGGTGTCTCGGGTTTTAGACCAGTCCGGATGTATGAAATTCACCACAGGAAACTCTTAATCTGGAACCTCCCTAGTTCTGGCGTACGGTAAGACATCGTCAAGAAAGTGCAGCATAGCCTGTCCCGGAAAACGGTCCTTCACAGTTTCCTCCTCGTTGACCTAACCCGGAAGTGAATAGAAAAGTTTTACAGTGACATATTTTTTTTAATGTTAAAATAAAATGAAATTTGAGTTATTAATAAAAAACAGCACCATGATTATACTTGAAAAATATTTTGTATTGCTTGAGTGGAAAAGTTACAGATTTGATTATAAATTTTCTGTTTTTATTTTCGCCGCTTATATCGTTATCAATGTTCCAGATGTCGCTTAGACCTTTCCAAAACTAAATATGGGAGTCACGTGTGTGAAACAGATTGTAACCAAATGTTTGTTTATATTGTTGATAGGCTTCTCCGTGTGCAAATCCCAACAACTGGAAATAGTAACAAAGGATGCTTTCCAGGAAATCATCAAGGACACTAAATATGTTCTAGTTTTATTTTGTAAGTTTGAGATATTGACATACAAGCGACACAGCTAACTGTCTCTGCAGTTAGCATGTGACACGTCTGCATCTGAGTCCTTGACCATATTAGGGGACGTGGTTTTAAAATATCAAGTTACTTTAATTATTAGATTTTAAAGAGAGATCTTGGATTCAAATCCCGGTCTGGTTCTTACATTGTCCCTATTGCTCTCTTTTAAGTTCAAACCCCAGCGATGACAGGTGTTTTCAATGCTTCCTAGTACAGTTTTGTTTTCCCCTAATCAGTAAACTTGTATCTTCAGAAACAGTCAAAATATCTCCCTCCTGATGAAGATTTTTAGACGTTTATTGATAATGACAGAGTCTGTAATGATTTTGTTGCTGTTAAATAAATAAATATACCTGTAATTTTAACATCCATAATAGATATTTTTTGGCTTACCTGAAAGAAAACCATTTTACAAATATCATATAAAAGGCCATTGTAGACATTCTGACAAAGAATAGCCTGCACCATGTACATGGTTACAATGTATGGTAATTGTTCCAGTTTATGACATGGAGACATGTCCTCGGTGTGTAGCAGCAGAGAAAGAGCTTCTCCAGGTTAACACCATGCCAGATTTGTACGACCATGGTATGTATGACTTACCTCCCTTGAAATGATTCAAATACAAACACACTTGATCTTCCAGTCTCTTAGATCATATAATATCTTTTTGTATTGTAAAGTATAAAAACATCTGGCTGATTCTATTTCTTTACAGAGTATATCATGTTGTTAAACATTGTATATATGTCTTACATACCTTACACATTGGTATGTTAAAAGGTGAAGATAATCCTTGGTGCATAGGATGTGATGAGCCATCCACCGTATTTTATATTGGACTGAAGTGACCTTCTGTCTACTCCAGACATTTTTTATTGTAATGTTACAAAACTAAAGACCCTTTTTGAAACTGTTTAGATTTGTAAAATTCTACATTACCTGAAATATCTTGGTCTATATAATAGACTATGACATTTTAATATTTTGTGTTAATAATTTAAGAATATTAGCATTTGTCTTTTACCGTTTAGTTTGTTTGATGTTATTTCCTTTTAGGATTGCTGCAAGTTTAACAGGTTGAATGACCTTTTATGTGTTGACGAGCCATTAAGACTGTGATAATGATAAAGTATATACTTCTATATATACTAGTACAGATGCTGTTATCAATAAGATTGATTACATTTCCATTTTACATGATGGCTTCCCATTAGCTCATTATTGATCTAGAAGGTATTCACAGGAGTGTAGATGAAGTCTGGATCGATTGTGACGTCGCGCCATGGTTACCGATTGTGAATCGGGAAGCTCCGCAGGCAACAGGATAATTTTCTTTGATATTTACTGTTTTCGACAGTAATCATAACAAAAGAATATGGGATTGATGTAAGTTACTACAAAGAAGTTGGTTACATGTTTTGGAGTGAATAGTGTTGATAGATTTTATGGAAAATGACAAAAAGTAAAGCCGGAAGTGGTGCTGCTGGAGACATTACCAGAGCCAAATCAGTGTCTTCGTCTACAGAAGTCAGGATGGATACCCTGAACATCACCCCATCTGAATGTAAGTTGTGTTCAAAGGTGTATGTTGAGAAGACAACCAAAATGCTGAAATGCAACAGATGCCGGAAATATTTTTGCATTGGATGTATTGGCATGGAGGTACGTACGTATGAAGTTTTGTGCCGATCAGATAGTATGTGGTTTTGTGCTCCGTGTAGAGTGACAGTTGAGAAAAGGATACTGACCGATAGGAAAACTGAGGAAAGGTATCGCGAGATAATGGAAACATTCGAGAAAATGCTTGAGGATTTGGAAAATTCAATGAAGAGGAAATGTGAAATATCTGATGTCGAATGGATATTGAAAAAGGAAATGGGAAAGATTGTGTAACAGATGAAAACGCCTCAGTGTTCGGATGAAATATTCTCTGAGGTAATGGATCGACAAAGCAGGGAGAGCAACATGGTCATTTTTGGAGTTCCTGTACAGCCTGATGACGATGGAAATAAAAGAATGAGAGCAGATATTCGGGTAGTGGAGAGGATCATTGAAACGTGTGGAAATGCTCAGGGACAACCCCAGAAGGTCATTAGACTGGGAAAACGCCCGGATTCAAGTACAGCGTCAAGTGAAAAAGGGCGACCAATGCTTGTGAAATTTGACTCTCTGATACATAAAAGAATTACTTTCAAAAATATCTAAAGGCTAAATTGCTAAGTCACTATGTAACGATTTATTTCCTCCTACATTGTATGATATATCAATTCCATTGTAAATCAATATAGATATGGACATAGAGGCATTGTTTTGCCTGCGTCCATTATTAACTTAACTTAACTTAATGACAATAACATGATGTCATTTTGTGCAGTTTTTACATTGCCTCTGATAACATTATAGCTTTGATTGTGATTTTGCATCAGGTTTTAGTAAACATACAACAAGTTTATCGTGTGGAAAACAATCTTAAATCAAAGGCAGGATAATGTCCAAAATGTAAATATAACATTGAATGTCTGACTCACGGATGTCATTCTATTTATCTGTCTCCCATGGTGCATTCATATTGACAATAAATACTCTCAGACCTACATCCAATAGTTAAATATGTCACAATGTGATGAAGCATTTAATGGACTGTTTCAGTACTTCATTCCTGGTCTGACAAACATTTGAAGACAAAACTTTTTAGAATACTAGTGTGAAATACTACTAAATTGCAAAACCTCAGTATTAACATGGCAGAAAAGTCTGTAAGATCATTCTGTTGTTAAAGTTTTCTTTTATTTTCTAGCCATCCAGATGATAAAGTGTGAAGATCCAGGAATGGCAGTGAAGTATGGAGTAACGACCGTCCCTCAGGTGGTCTACTTCAGAAACGGGGTGCCTGCTTTGTTTGAGGGTGAGAAATATCTCTTTATTGCTCATTATGTTATATACAAAACTAAAACTTCACAAAGGATTATATCAGAACAAAATGTAATATCTATGATTGATATTTCTCTATATAAGAACCAATATTTAATCCACGTTCAATCAACTCTGTAAACAGAAATTTTGTGTAAATCATATGAACACTTTTTTATTTCCGCATTCAAATTTTATCTCTGGAAAAAAATTCATGATAAAAATGTATCAGCAAAAGGATTGTGGGACAAACAAGAAAACAACAAATGATAGACGAGTATTGTGAAGTAAAGAAAGTTGATAAAGAACCTCAGATCGTTTCCTTATTTAGAAAACAAAACATTACATGATTTAGGGATTTGAATTAAGACCATACAATCAAAAGTCTTGTGTTTCAAGTAAAATCATACTGAAAAAAGTATAGAAACAATCTTTTCCTTTTAAATATTGTGAAAGAAATAAGATTGACAAATCCTACAATTGTAAATACCCAGTACCTTTAAATGGGTGAAATATTTTAAAATTTTTTTTCTTATTTTTTCTTTATTTTTCTTTGTGCATGGTAGCAAATAATGGTACATAACTGTTTTTTTCAGTGCCTCAAGATGTGAGAGAGATTCGAGCAGAGGATGTGGAGATTTTTGTAGAAGAGGCACAGCAAGTGGCAATAAAGTCACTGAATGATAACAGCTTTGAACATCTGACACAGGCCGCAACAGGGGCCACCACAGGGGACTGGCTGATTATATTGTAAGTAACTGGGGGCCATCATGGGGGAATGGCTCATTATATTGTATGTACCTGGGAGCCACCACAGGTGACTGGCTCATTATATTGTATGTACCTGGGAGCCACCACAGGTGACTGGCTCATTATATTGTATGTACCTGGGAGCCACCACAGGGGACTGGCTCATTATATTGTATGTACCTGGGAGCCACCACAGGGGACTGGCTCATTATATTGTATGTACCGGGGAGCCACCACAGGGGACTGGGTTATGATATTTTATGTGACAGGGGGCCATTATGAGGGAATAGCTCATTATATTGTATGTGACTGGGGGCCATCATGAGGGACTGGGTTATGATATTGTATGTAGATGGGGGTCACCACAGGGTACTGGGTTATTATATTGTATGTTATCAGAGGTCAATGTTGGGGACAAGAAAAAAAAACTAATATTCTATGTTTGGGCTCAACTTTTGTGATTTTTCAAAAATTACTTTTTTGTGGACACTTGCTGTCACGGATGAAAATGGTTCAACAAAATTGCTTATACTTATTTCAAACATTCATGGAGATATAAATTTGTGAAGGGTACCCCTAATGATATTTACCTCTAGGTGGCATTGCTATGCATATACTTACTAAAGCCTGTTGTGTTTTACTAGCTCATGAACTGCCATTGGTGAAGGAATATTTTATTTTTCCAGCAGTGTAGAATAATTGTCAGGTTTTGAAACTAAAAACAGATCAATGCCAATAGGATGAAAGGAAATTTGTCCTTATATTATTGGCATTCATATATCAATGACTGCTGGCTAAAGCAGAGCAATGCTTCAAAAGGGTTCTAAATTATGAAGATAACTTTATTCTAGAAACAAAATTTTCTAACGTTATAAGACTCGAACACAATTCTCCAAACTTCTGACCCCATTAATAAGTACAGTGTTAAATTTCATAGACAGACAGTGTAAATACATGTTTTTTTTGTGTTTTTTTTTCAAATGATATTTTTGAACTTTGAAATGTTGTAACTTTCTCTTTCAGTTATCGACCATCTTGTGATGGCTATCTTTCTGCTATAGAAGGGGCAGGTGTGAAGTAAGTATAAACTTACAATGAAATATTTCATTTTTTTGATTTAATTTCTCAAATGAAAAATTTGAAGAATAAATTATATTTAAATCAGGTTTTTTTGGCAAAAAAAATTATTTGAATATGGTTGGGATTGCAAAGAATTCAACAAACAGGTGGAGAATTAAGTCATTAAATTTTACTTTGATTTTACATTTTTTGAAAAAATTTAGAAAAATTTCAGGGGTTTAGAATGAAAAAAAAATTTCATTGGTTGATTGATTTCAGATTAAGACACAAGATGAATGTTGCAAAGATCAATGTAGATGAGAGTCCTCGGCTTGAAAAACGTTTCAAGATCAAAGACTGTCCAACAACTTATTTGTAAGTAACAGAACATCCCCACTGTCTGCAAACTTCAATCTGATTAAAACCAGAAAAAGATTTCATAACAGGAGCTGATAATACAGAACTTGTAAGGTAGTGTCATCTGTACCAGGTGAAATTTAAATCTGGTTTTTGTAAGATTGTAGATTCCATCACTAGTCTAGTTGTACTTTCCCATGTGAGATTTGATAAAAAAACAAGATGGCTGACAGACGACCATTTTGGATTTAAAAATGAAAGATTTTCTCTATTTCTTTAGAGCAAAGAAGAGGAAAGCAGAGATAAAAATGGAAAAGATTTTTTAATCTTTAAAAGAACAATTTAACATCATACAATGGTGGGCACCAAAAGCTCCCTGGGATCTTCTAGTAATTTTTAGCTAGTATTTTTAGAGTTATCACAGCAATATTCTCTGTTTTTAGTTTCCGGTTAGGACGTATGTACCACTATTTCTCATGTCTCACCAATATTCTCTGTTTTTAGTTTCTGGTTAGGACGTATGTATCACTATTTCTCATGTCTCACCAATATTCTCTGTTTTTAGTTTCTGGTTAGGACGTATGTATCACTTTTTCTCATGTCTCACCAATATTCTCTGTTTTTAGTTTCTGGTAAGGACATATTTATCGCAGTTTGTCATGTCACAGCAATATTCTCTGCTTTTAGTTTCTGGTTAGGGCGTATGTATCACTTTTTCTCATGTCACAGCAATATTCTCTGTTTTTAGTTTCTGGTTAGGGCGTATGTATCACTTTTTCTCATGTCACAGCAATATTCTCTGTTTTTAGTTTCTGGTTAGGGCGTATGTATCACTTTTTCTCATGTCTCACCAATATTCTCTGTTTTTAGTTTCCGGTTAGGACGTATGTACCACTATTTCTCAGAGGAACAAGACCAGTATCATATTAATCAGCTTGTCAGCTTTGTATCCTCCTGGTACAAGAACGTGAAGGCCCAGAGTGTGCCTATAGAACCAACAGCTTTGTAAGTAACGTGTAGTGACTGTATACTGAGATATTTTCACCCTTGTACCATTATACAAAAATTCGCCTCATTTTCATTTCAGCCTTTGAGGAATGTATAAAAGGATTCTGTACGTTTAACAAATTTTGGCCCCAATCTGAAATTTGTCCTCCCTGTTCATGGACAAAAAGGGGTACAAATTAAACCATGCAAAAATTTCTCTCTTTGCTATACCATATTTTTTCTGTAATAAGCTTGTCTCTTTTAACATGCCTGTCCCTATTTATTTCTGTACAGTAGAATTACAAGTAAATGCTACATGTGCTTCATTGTTTATTACTGAGCTGATCTCTAGATTCTGAGTCAGAATTTGTATATTGTCCTCCCTGCCTGATATTGAAGAGTAATTACTATGACTGTTTGATAACCAACTTTTGTAGAATATTTCTGTATATATTAAGTTATTATAGAAACTTTCTTTGATATTATTTTATATATTGTTTATGTAATCATTTGTTCTGTGTTTAGTGATGCCCTGACAGAAGGTATAGCTGATTACTTAAAGGTGAGTATCAGAATCGTTGGTGGTTTGGTTGGTTGGTTAATTGGTTGGTTGGGTCGGTTGGTTGGATGTTTGGTTGATTGGTTGGTTACAGGTTTTCCGTTTGACGACAAAGGTGCGAAAATGGGTTATGAGAGATTACAGCAAGATAAGTTCCGTAGACGTAGAGGATGTTTTAATAGGATGGGATTATTTAGGATAGATCTAAGTTTTGAAAGAGTGAAAATCACTACACAGGCAGGATGGTTGGGTTATGTTAAAGGATATATGTTTAGAAGGAGTGTTAATTCTCACTGGTTACATGTTGAGAAGAAATAGAGAGAAATTAATCTATCTATATAATATCATATACATTCTGTTTTTTTCCTGCGGTTTGAGTTAAAGTAATATTTTTATTAGCTGAGAGATGAGGTAGGGGAGGGGTGGGGTTTTGTACAGTGTATAGTGGACCTATGTCTGTATCTGTTGGTGTGTGTTTCTTTATTGGACTTGTTTCAACTTGATTTCAGTCATATTTTCCTAATCAGTATCTAAAGTTCCAGAAACCCAGGCATTTTTTCCAAAACTAACTGGTTACCAGTTAACTATTGATAGTTTTTGTATTTTTTCTTATAAAAAATTAAATTCACACAATCTTTAAAGAAAATGAATACTGGAGAAAAATAAAGAAACCCAAAACATAACGTTGGTATATTTTCATTAATAAAACTATTTTCAGGACTTGATGCAGGGTCCAAACAGAGGGAAGTTCCTAGTAGGACTTGGAGTTGCTTTTGGGATTATCTCCCTTGTTATGGCTGTTGTTGCTGTCATATGTCCATGTCGGAGGAAGGCAACAAAATTAGAATAGGAATATTTTCTCTAGAACTGCAATCTGAATACATTGGACCAAACTATATTGTTTTTATTTGTTGCATTTATACAAAAGGATGTCTTATAACTTAGGAATGGAATGTAAATTGTTCTGGGAAATTTGAATATTTATTTAAATATGTGTATGTGTTTCTGTTTTTCAGATGTGTTCAATAAGTTATGTTTGCAATAGAAAGTAAGAGAGATATGTTTTATCTGATTGGAAAGTGAATGTATTTCTTACAAAGTTTGACAATGTTTGCTACTATGTACTGTGTTAGTTAACAGCCTTTCACTAATTAGTCATTTGTATTGTGTATGTATTAGTCAATACATCACATATATATATGTGCCTTACCTTTTACAATATTATAATGAGTTGGTACAGGAAATTTTCAAGTTTTCGCATCAAAACTGCCATTTCATTTCAATACTATGACTTTCTACACTAAGCACATTTAATTACACAAAACACAATACATGTCGTAGATTTTGTGATTAAGAACTCTTTTGAAATGAAGATAATCTTAGTCGATGTGGTAAACTCTGTAAACAAAATGGCATCAAATATCAAGCTACTGGTAATTTATTTTCAACAATCTCTACATAACTTTTTTTCTCTATTATGCCAGAATAATAAATTTGGACTCAGTTGACTCTCATTAACACAGTATCAAACCCCCTTAACCCTTCCCCCCCCCCTTAACATTTGAAACATTGACAGATATGAAGTATCTTTTGACCGTTTCTATCAATGTAACATGTATTTTTGGTGCATGGGAGTTTTTGTCCTAATATTTGTTATTTTTATGCCTGTTGAAATAAAATTTATAAAATGATAATTTCAATTGTAGTTTTTATTTGAAAATTAAAAAAAGCACATGTGTAATTGTTTTAATGCGATAAGTTTAGTAACTTTTCTGAGCGTCAGTCATACAGTTTGGTAAACTAGTAGCCATACATATTGGTGTTCAGTACAAATATTCCTTGGTTTCAGTTAACCTACAATATTGGGTAACAACTGTAATGTATCAGCTTCCTGTTCTTGTTGGATAAATCTGTTTCTCAAGGAAAACATGATCAAAGTTCTGATATTGATATTATGATATTGAAACTACCAGGTATTTTATTGAGTTTCACTCTGATTATGGCAAAAAACATCCTTGATGATGTAGGGATTTGATGTACCCACCACCACCACTCCTACACAAAGTTTTACCAAATTGACGGAGATGTCATCAGGCAGGGACATTGTAAATAATATAACTTTTTTCTGAACATGGGTGTTTGCAAACTTCAGCACCTTTTTTGCACTGAATGTTGAGATCCCCCTATCTTGCCAACAAGACTTGGGTGTTTTTGTTGCCCAGGCCTTTCGCCTGTTGTTTCATAACTTTACCTTGTTCTCATTTAAGAACATGACATTACTTACTTGGATTGACCAAGGTTTACATGGCAGGTGTCGTCAATGAAGCAGAAGACGCTTACTCTTCCGGAACACATGGTCTTATTCTCCTTGTACTTTTTCAGGGTTCTCTGTGTAAATCTTTCTATTGTTCATACTTTACCTTAATTTTATGGAATTTGAGTAGTAGTATTGAGGGTAGATGTACTGTAGTATTGAGGGTAGATGTACTGTAGTATTGAGGGTAGATGTACTGTAGTATAGAGGGTAGATGTACTGTAGTATAGAGGGTAGATGTACTGTAGTATAGAGGGTAGATGTACTGTAGTATTGAGGGTAGATGTACTGTAGTATTGAGGGTTGTGTAGATGTACTGTAGTATTGAGGGTAGATGTACTGTAGTATTGAGGGTAGATGTACTGTAGTATTGAGGGTAGATGTACTGTAGTATTGAGGGTAGATGTACTGTAGTATTGAGGGTAGATGTACTGTAGTATTGAGGGTTGTGTAGATGTACTGTAGTATTGAGGGTTGTGTAGATGTACTGTAGTATAGAGAGTAGATGTACTGTAGTATTGAGGGTAGATGTACTGTAGTAATAGAGGGTAGATGTACTGTAGTATTGAGGGTAGATGTACTGTAGTATAGAGGGTAGATGTACTGTAGTATAGAGGGTAGATGTACTGTAGTATAGAGGGTAGATGTACTGTAGTATTGAGGGTAGATGTACTGTAGTATTGAGGGTAGATGTACTGTAGTATAGAGGGTAGATGTACTGTAGTATTGAGGGTAGATGTACTGTAGTATAGAGGGTAGATGTACTGTAGTATAGAGGGTAGATGTACTGTAGTATTGAGGGTAGATGTACTGTAGTATAGAGGGTAGATGTACTGTAGTATTGAGGGTAGATGTACTGTAGTATTGAGGGTAGATGTACTGTAGTATTGAGGGTAGATGTACTGTAGTATAGAGGGTAGATGTACTGTAGTATAGAGGGTAGATGTACTGTAGTATTGAGGGTAGATGTACTGTAGTATTGAGGGTAGATGTACTGTAGTATTGAGGGTAGATGTACTGTAGTATAGAGGGTAGATGTACTGTAGTATAGAGGGTAGATGTACTGTAGTATTGAGGGTAGATGTACTGTAGTATTGAGGGTAAAGTACTTTGTAAAATTAGATGTACTGTAGTATACAGATGTACTGTAGTATTGAGGGTGAAATGTACAATTTAGATGTACTGTAAACTCTTGTATAGATATAGATTTATATACAAAGTAGTAAAAGACGATGATACATGTACTGTAATGAGGGTAGATGTACTGTAGATGTACCCCTACTATTGAGAACTGTAGATGTGTACTGTAGTATGGTAAGGTTCACACGAAAACAGTTAAAACTCCACATCGATTAAGACCCTTCCAACAAGGATCCAGCTTAGTGTTTTTATGTTGTTTAAATATCTTTTATGTGAAATTAAGTATGACACACTCAAGCTACACTTGTACACAATAATTATTTTAACAGAATATGATGGGTGATAATTTTAGATTTAGAATTTCAGGCCATTAATGATTTCTTTATCAAAACTAAAAGAATCTGTAATGTTTTTAGTGAAAGCATGTTTGCCGACATACTTCAAATTTAAATAGTTTTTGCACATTATATTATTCACTTGAATTCAGAAGATTTTTTCTGTTATTTCTTTTAACCCAATACAAGTGTGGCCAACTCACCTGATATTGTTAGGGCCACCTGATATCTGATAACATGATCTGTTTAAAGTGTGAAAAATGCCTCAAGAGCTGGATTCATGACTTTTTATCTGGATTTAAAATCATTTTTAAAAAATTAAAATAATCAAAATAATCCAGCATAACAAGGATTGTTTTAAAGCACTTGACCTTGTAAACACTTTCACTCTTCATTTCAAACCGCTATGACAAGAAATGCATCTGTGTAGGTAACACTGCCAAAAATTATCCTAGTAATGTTGAAATGAAGTTACAAAATCTACAGTGATGTTAAATATGACTTGCTCATTGTGTGGAAATTTCCTTATTTTCGCGGCTACAGACAAACCACAGAATTAAAATACAATGAATTTTTTTAGAAGGAATTATGTGTATAGTGATGTCATGTCCATGAGTGTGTTTCACCTTCCACCATTCAGCTCAAGCTTTGATAGTGAAAAAATGTAAAAATTCAAAATAACATTGCACAAAAGCAACTCAAATTATGTGTTTTCCTTTTAATAACACATATAAATTTATTAAATTTCATTTTAATAAATTACCATTACTGAAATAAAGTTACATTAATAATGATGGTGTGTTTCTCCCATGAATACCTACACACTGAACCAGCCTACCTCATTCTGTAGTCGATTAAAAAAAATAATTTACATACAATTCAGCAAAAACATTACAAATCTACTGATACGTAACTCACTAAAATCCCGTATTTATCGGGGTTGATTCTGACCGACAGAATATACCAGGGGTGTTAGGGTCAATATGGAATGGTTATTGCACATTGAGGAAAAATCTATACGCATTCATGGAAAATACTGACAAACTATAACTAGCACTCCTGTTATAAAACATGTACCTGATTACAACAACACATAAGCTGGTACCAAACTTACTTCTCAGTAGTGAATATCAACAAAATTGTCTTGGATTAAAATGTCAGTTCTTTTACAATAAATTCATTTGAAAAAAATTCTTAACCATTTCAATATTTTACATTAAAGAAAAAAAGGAAAGAAAAAACACAACATAACTGAAATAGGGTAAAATGAGATAAAATTGGTAAGTCAAATACAAGAAAATACTAAGTGGTTTTTCTAATTAAACTGCATGTTTTACTTATATAATGGTGATATCTGTTTCTAACAAACATCACTGTATCTATAATGACGTGTAAATGTATCCCTACTGAAATGGGGTATCAGCTTTAATTCTAATTAGTTAGTTGGATGTTGACAGAGACAAGATCCATTCAATGTTTTAACATATTAATGCACAAACACTTAAACCTGTAATATAATGTTAAACCTTTAAACTGTTATATCTGTAGTATTACAAATCTAGATCCACTTTTACTACATCAAAATTAAATTTAAAGCATATGTGTGTGTATCTAAAATCTGTGAAATCTGAGGGTAAAATTTTCACCTAACATACGTTACTTTAGCTACACATTGATAAATAAATATTCTGACATTATACTGACCTGCTAAACAACAAAATAAAGTAATTTTAAAAATATTCTGAGAAGCCAACCATACAACATTTTATGAATTCAAAATATCTATTTTAATAAAGCATCCTAATTTTTGTTTATTTATTGATTTACGAAAGAATAAAACATTTAAATAATACTGTCGTTATAGTGTTAGTTATATCTAGTATATACACGGATAATGTAGTCTTATTTACTGTTAATATTTTAAAGCAAATACGTTTATTTAAAAACTTTAAAATGTATCAATTCTATAAGATACAGAATCATATCATGAGTGACTTAATGAACTGATGACAACTTTGTTAAAACAAATGAACAGTAAGACACTGGTATCTCTGATATTTTACCGGTCAACTTAAAAAAAACACGAAAACCTTCCTCAATTGATCACTGATGTCCAATAACCTTTTAAAAAAGTCTTAAAATTTTCAATAAAATGACAGTTAAAAATGGATATTCGTTGACATGGATCTGAACACAAATTTAAATTAAATTCATGTTATAAGTGAAGATAATGATAAGACACAGAGCTGAGGTAACTATGTCGTCTATATGTGATAGCAGTAGATTGACATAAATTTATGAGTATTTTGTAACTAATTCCCTCATCAAGCCATCGTTTTATAATGATAAAAGCTTTATGTAAGGAAAGTAACATTTATATAGACAAGAATTATCTCTATCCATTTCACAACCACGTTTTGGATAAAAAAAGTGCTGCTTGAACAAATTAAGTTTCAATATTTGTCACATGTTACTGTGATTACCTTCTGATCAAACTTGGTCCTACATCACAGATGTCTGTTGTTTAACAACTCATGTATAGACTCTATATACTACTGTACTTATCTATTGTTAGTAATTTGTTCTTTATAAACTATCAATATAAATAAACAGTCTAATGTAACATTGTTAGTTTATTCCAAATGACAGTGATAGCATTCCATTCGTAAACAAGCCTTTGATTAAATTTTTTTCTAAAAAGTCATTGATTTAAGATTTTAAAAAGTGAAAAAAAAAGTTGTAGATTTGAAATTTTTAAAAAAGGTCTTTGATATGATTTAAAAAAAAAAAAAAAAAATGTTGATTTAAAATTTCAAATAAGTCTTTAAATTTTAAAATAGAAAAAAAAAATTTTTTGTGCTTCAAAATTACAAAAGAATATTACAAACTTTTGAATCTTAAGGATATCCGACAAAAAGATCTCTAAACATAAAATTAAAAGAAAATTCAAACTGGACAAATAAGATATATAACAAGTTTTTCAGTGCTAAATCTACCAATAATAGTTGTCATATGACTAGCTGTTTTAGGTATGTGATTTTTAGACCTTAGAACGTCTATAAAACCATTTCCTGAGGTGACAAAAATAATTCTAACTTACTTCCTTGTCAAATCAGGCCAAAATAAAACAGAACCAAAACTTTTTACATCTCACAAGCAATTTGTGAAGCACTGTAGTGTAAAATTCTTTTCTGGTAATTTGAAATTTTGTCTTCACTAAACTTTGCATTAATGTTTGGCTGACTTCAAAGGCAAACTATGAATTGTACAGAAATCTTTTGTTTTGTTGATTTTCTCTGAAAAAGTTTACTTTAAACATCATTATAAATCCATGATTTAAGAACGATAAGACTATAATTATCTATAAATATTGATTGCTCCCTTATGTGGTAATTTATCTATTAAACTCTCCCTTATATGGTAATTTATTTATTAAACTCTCCCATATATGGTAATTTATCTATTAAACTCTCCCTTATATGGTAATTTATCTATTAAACTCTCCCATATATGGTAATTTATCTATCAAACTCTCCCATATATGTTGGCTGTGATAAATTCTCTACATTACAGTTGTGTAACCACTGTAATTATACACACAATATTAGAACATATCCAACAGCTATAAAAAAATCTCAACATTCAATACACACTATCAGTGATAATATCTATAAATTTCTGAAAAATCATTTGCACTGAATGTATATGATACAAAAATGAATGATTAAATCAACATCTGACCTTTTTCAGACAGTTAACCTTTGACCTTCAATAGTCAATCACTGATGTTGCCTGACAGTTGAACTTTGAACTCTCTTAGCAGTTAGCTTACACTGGCAGTGACATATAAACAAATTGTAGACACTGATGAGAGAATATAGATATCTATTCATGCCAGCATTACATCAATGACCTGAATTATGACCCTTTACCAAGAAAAGAATCAAATTTCTCAACAACAACAAAAAAAAAAAAAAAAACCCAAGTAGTTTGCTTGCTTTAGGAAATCTGATGATGTGATTAAATTTCTCCCGACGATTTTCTATTCTAATTGTAACTTTTATAGGCAGATCCCGCTACATAGGCCAGTTTCTATGACAATTTGTCTATTTGGATTGCCTCCTTTGTTACTTAGAAGATGTTACATCATTTACCTCCCTTGTATAAAGGTTGTTGAGATTACAGAAGGCAAACATTTCATCATTTATTATAATTGGTGGGACAATGATGCTGCCAAAACTGCACCAACTCTGTCTGTCTATTTTCACAATTTGTTCAGTTTTGACCACTCCATAAAAGGCAGGATGGTGATTTGAGATGCCTCTGTGGTGTATGGCATAGTATGATGGCCTGAGTGTTTTGATATTAGAGAGTTACTTCCCCTTTGAGCTTTTGGAGTCGCATCCTACATCAGAGTACACAGCATCCCTGGAGAAATATATCTGTCACAGTCATGATTACATTATCTTGTAACATTTGATCTCCCAGCAGTCATCTCCAATACTTTCGTAATTCAGTTGTTTTTCCATAAATCATAATTGGCATAATTTTACACCAAACAAACATTTTCAGAAGTGTGAAAATTGCCAGCAATTATCTCCCCTGGTAGAGCCCTAGTTGCCTTCCCTTGACAATATATCAAAACACAGACATTGACTAGATCCATTTTTTTGTGTCACAGATTTGTTCCGTCATTAAATCACACAATATGACAGTTCCTCCAACATGTCTGACACACTGCTGTAGTGTAACACTTGTTGCTGTTCCAGAGAACTTTCTTTCTGAACATCGATTCTATTATAAAATTTCATCATTAAAACAGTAAAAAAGCAATAATATGAACCTTTTAACATCAAATGCTGAGAAGATAAACAATAATTCCATTCATTTCACAAGGATTCATCTATCCTGAAGAGTTATCTGCCCATGGATTCACTCCATCCACAGACTTTAAGCTCTAACAAGGGATAGCAGGAATTCACTGGCACATCTTTTGTAGATTAATTCATGATTTGTGGTCAACCGATCTACATCAGATACTGTACATAATCCACACATCCTGATAACTTCAAATACAGTTTAATTCCATTATTCAAAGGGAGATCACTCTATATACACTCTTCTACCGAAGATTATTCTCCTTTCATTGTAGTCTGTGTAAACAAGAGATATAATATTCAGTCATTTGACGTTTTGTAGAGAGGGATCAACTGAATTCCTATTAATCTCATTTCATAAGGGCACAGTAACAATATCCCATCATGTGGTTTTCTTTTCACTTGAGTTATCTGCCCCTTTGTGTGGAGTCTTTGCTCATTTTGGTTGATGTCTATAAGCCACCAAATTCCTATTCAAAACGTGTGATATCTAAATGCGACTTGTCCGTACGTCAGAGTTTAGTGGCTCCATCTCAGGGTCGTAGGTCGCCTTGTGTAGATCATCTACAGGGTACAGAGAATGGCTGTAGTGTTGACCACCAGGGTCCATATAGCTGTAAGGTGGAGCCGTCGGCTCAGTAGGAAAATAACCATCATAATTCCTTGGTTCTTCCTCGTCGTCATCGTCTTCATCACCGCCACACAGGAGGTAACGGGACCTCTGCAAAAGGAAGAAGGTCTCAGAATGATTTCAAAAATGACAACATATTTAACTGTAAAATACTGAAATTAAACCCTATTACATCTTAAACAAGTATATGTTAACCAAAGTGAAATAGTTCATATTATAAATAAAAGTAGCTTCTTATGGTATTCTCTAGAGGTAAATCAATGTAAAATAATCCACAGAGATTACACTGAATAATACCTATAAACCTGGGAAACAAGCAAAAAGGCAAGTACTTTACTGAATTAAAGTGAAAATATGATACTTAAAGCTCAAATCTCACAATAGATAACAGCCTGGGTAAAACCTTTCGATTGTAGTTCAACATCTTGTCTGTTATATTGTCAAATATATTTTGTATTACCGGCTCACTTCCATAATCATAATTCAAAAATCCCTTATTTGGTCAATAATATATTGGCTGATTACTTTTTCTAAACATAAACTTTATTTATTTTACAACAATTGCAAAAAAGCTTTAAGCTTATATAGATCACTCTTGTTGGCCCGGATGGAACATGTGAGAAGTCTTGTTGTGGAAGGAAACAAAAGTACCTGGGGAAAACCCACCTGGTTGGATAGGTGACCCCTTATACCCTATGGATGATTAGCTTTTATAAATTTAGTTAACTAAATACATGTATAACGCAAAATGAATAGCAAGGGGAGATAATTACCTCACTGCAGTCACCCTCGTGCAGCATACAGCTGTGAATGGCCGCTGCAGGGATGGCAATGTATGGCACACCAGCTAGTAACCAGCTGATCAGTTCCCAGAGATCAGACACTTGGTGACCAGCGTAACTAATGGGGATGTTTTTGGTGATGATAAATGAGTACAGCCAAAAGCCCTGAAAAACAGGAGAAAGGTGCTATTTACTGTACATAAAAACAATATTACATTTGCTGACACCTAAAACATTTATGATACATATCTTGTCCAAACAAGTAATTTGATACAGTCTGAGTTAAATAAATAGATAAATGAAGAAGCAAATCAATCAATCAATCAATTTGAGTATCAACAATAACTGCTATATTATTAATTCAGAAAACACAATTAATGTGATAAAATAGTATGTTAGAGTCATACTTTCAGCACAAACAGCTGTACTCAAAATAAAAAATAGATTAAGTATACAAAATCATTTCAATTGAAATATATTTTTCAAAATTGCTTCAATATCCCTTTTTTTCAATTTTCTGTTGAAATCTCTATGCAAAGGAAACTTTATTGAGAAACAGATTTTAGTAAAAAATATAGTAAATATACAGTTTATGTAGTCTAGCATTGTAAAGTTACAGAGTTATCTCCCCTGATACTTACTGTAGCTCCTATGGCAGCTAGTATACACCATATACTCAGCAGTACCTTTTCTGCTACAGCAAAACGATTTCTTACTGTAAAATGGAAAAACTTTATAATACCAACTGAAATCTGGTCCTGAAATCATCAACATAAGAAATATCTGGTATTGTATTACTTCATCATACCCCCACCCCTTAAGATAACCCTCACACCCTCAAGGTGAACCTCAACACCCTCAAGCTGACCCTCACACCCTCAAGCTGACCCTCACACCCTCAAGCTGACCCTCACCCCTTAAGCTGACCCTTACCCCTTAAGCTGACCCTCGTCCCCTTAAGTTGACCCTTACCCCATTAAGCTGACCCCCACCCCTTAAACTGATCCTAACACCCTCAAGCTGACCCTTACCCCTTAAGCTGACCCTTACCCCATTAAGCTGACCCCCACCCCTTAAACTGACCCCCACACCCTCAAGCTGACCCTTACCCCTTAAGCTGACCCTTACCCCATTAAGCTGACCCCCACCCCTTAAACTGACCCTCATACCCTCAAGCTCACCCTCACACTCTCAAGCTCACCCTCACACTCTCAAGCTCACCCTCATACCCTCAAGCTCACCCTCATACTCTCAAGGTCACCCTCACACTCTCAAGCTCACCCTCATACTCTCAAGGTCACCCTCACACTCTCAAGCTCACCCCTCACACTCTCAAGCTCACCCTCATACTCTCAAACTCACCCTCATACTCTCAAGCTGACATCAACGAGTCAGTTGGCCCAAAAGAATATTTCTGTATCTTCTACCTTCAGGAATAACAATTTATCTGATCAGTAGAATGCATTGTTTTCCCAACATTGGCCTCAGTATCTCTATGGCATGATGATGACCTAGTTTCAATATCATGACAATGTCCTAGTTTTAATATCACGGCGATGACCTATTTTGCAATACCATGACAACCTTGTTTTAATACCATAGTGACAACTTACCATACACTATGATAATGGAGAATGCCAGAAGTGCCACGGTGATGAAGCGAAGTCTGAGGACAGATTGGTCCATCAGCACTGTGTAGTACATGCCCGCCTACAACAGGTAGAGTTAATAGTTATTATAGACCACGTCTACAATATTGTATAGAGTAGTCAACAAACTTCTTAATTCTGTAAGGTATGATATTGCTGGTATTATTTGCAGTCATCGAAAATAGCGATAAATTAAATACCCAGTAAATATTCTGTATACTGACACAAGTGTATAGAAAAAGGTGAAATTTTCTCCCTGTGAATTTACACAAGCTAGGCAAACTGCAAAATATTCTCCCTGTGAATTTACACAAGCTAGGCAAACTGCAAAATATTCTCCCTGTGAATTTACACAAGCTAGGCAAACTGCAAAATATTAGCCCTGCAAAATTAAACAACTGTACATTATCTAAGTCATGTTAGTCTGTATGTCATTTATCTGGGTCATATTAACTTGTATATTAATTATCTGGGTCATGTTAGTCTGTATGTCATTTATCTGGGTCATATTAACATGTATGTTAATTATCTGGGTCATGTGAATGTTAATTACCTGAGCGATGTGGTATGATAATATCCTAGGTTATGAGGGGTGGTATGCTAATTGCTTAGGTCATATGTATAGTTACCTGGGTCATGTGGATGAAACCTGCCCCCAGGGCAAGTACAATCATGACAAATGAGATGACAAAGTTGACGACTATCTTGTGAGACGATAAACGTGATGAACGGGAGAACAGACTGTCACAAATATTGTCAACGATTGTCAGCATCCCAACCGACTGTAACAGAAAACAGTATATATATAGTATTAGTACTCAATCTATTCAGCCAACCCATTAATCAATTAAGCAATTTTACTAAATTTTTCACATCAATTTATAAAAATGATTTTTTATACAACAAAAAAGCTTTTATGAATCATTCTTGTTGGCCTAAAGAGCCTGAAGGTTCTTACTGTGGGAAGGAAGAACACTTCACTAAACACCAGTGGGCAGGCAGGTGCCCCCTTCTATTATCATGTTCAATCAGGTAACCAAACTTCCTTCACCTAGATTGAAGGGGAGGGTGTGTATATTACAACACCTCACTTAATTGGTCTTTCACATCAACTGTGTTTAACCTTCAAAAATAACTGGGGGAAACTCCAAACAACACTGGGAGATACATCATACTATACATCTTACATCACAGAGAGGCAATCCCTTTGACAAAAGTAGACACTGGGAGACACTCCCTATGACACAGAGAGACAGTCCCTATGACACTTAGAGGCAGTCCCTATGACACAGAGAGACAATCCCTACAACACAGGGAGACACTCCCTATGGCACAGAGACACTCCCTATGACACGGAGACACTCCCTATGACACAGAGAGACAATCCCTACAACACAGGGAGACACTCCTTATGACACTTAGAGGCAGTCCCTACGACACAGAGAGACACTCCCTATGACAATGAGAGACAATCCCTACAAGACATAGACACTCCCTATGACACAGGGAGACACTCCTTATGATAAAGGAAGGTACTCCCTCTGACATAGGAATAAATGAGTTTTGATTACTAGTAAAGATAACTCTGTTTATCTACAAGTTCTCCTACCAGGAACATGACTCCACTGAGGAAGAGAGACAGGAAAAAGAGCATGGCATACTCTTTGGGTATGTTGAGTATAGAGAAGGCTGCTGGCATGGCCTGGAACACGACCTTGATACCTGTAACATAAATACAAAGGTCAGATCTAGAGGTCACAACCTTAATAAGTGTTCCATAAACACACAGGTCAGGCATAGAGGTCACAACCTTGACACCTGTAACATAAACTCTTAAGTCAGTCAGAGAGGTCATAACCTCGATACCAGTAACATAATCTCTGATGTCAGCTATAAAGGTCACGACCTTGACACCAGTAACATAATGTCTGATGTCAGACGTTAAGGTCACGACCTTGATACCACCATGAATTTTGATACTTTTGACTGTTTGATAGTAAACTAAATTTTATGAACAGATTCTAATGTAATTTGACAAAACAATGGTAGATGGTGGTAATGCCAGGTTTGTTATAATAACTGATAAATCTATGTAGATACCATGTATTGATACTACAGGGTTTTATACCTAGAAATTCATCATAATCTTACTAAACACTGAGGGATTCACAACAATATTAGTCCTTCATTCTATAATACATTAAGTTAACAAGTAGACAATAAGATGTCCTCCTTTCCCAAGGACAATCTGATAGATTTTGTATCATTGACTCAAAAATTTAACTGTTGTTGTATCTGATGTTTCAAGTTTTTCTCTTTTATAAAAATTAAAGTAGTTGATAGGAAAGTCATGAAATGAATTATTCTTTTCTCCACTAGGTTTGCTGTCAATCTATCTTTCTTTTTTTTTTTTGTGATTTTAATCTCGAAAATGAAAAATAAAAAATATAAATAATAAAAGATAATGAGTTTTACAGGTATGGTGCGTTATATTAGTATTGTATACAAACATAAATCAGGCTTATAACAATTACCGTAAAAAATATTTTTCCTGGTTTTATATTTTTTACGTTGTTAACGAATTTCAGAAGTAAACAAAATGCTCTTTTACTAAATGATGAAGAAAAATGACGTTTAGCGGAAGTCGTTTAATGGTCTCTTGTTTTCTTTATTAATTAATTTTGCTTTTTAATGAATTAATTTTTTTTGCTTTTCATCCTCTCTTCCAAAAAAAAAAAGAAAATTTACAGTACTTCAAAATGCACTGATACACTAAACCCACACATCATTGATATACTTTGTAAATATTCATACTGTAAAATTAAATATTTTTGTGGGACTAAAATTCCATGGTTTTCCATAAATATACACTTTTGATGGCCCTTGATTTTGTGGATTATTAGTACTATAATCCATGTCCACTTTTATCTGCTGATATCATAGACATTAAATTTGTCGATAAAGTGTACTATAAAAATTAAACAAAAATAAATGCCCACAAAAATTAATGATTTTACATACACTGTACATGTATTAGTAACCTTGTTGTAAACTGTTATATCTGTTTCTATAGTAACATACTGTTGGATAGATTTACTTAGAATTCTACCTGCTCAGGTCTAGTGTTTACCTGACAATCTCATTGTATTAGTGAAAAAACCCTCCAGGTCAACAAAAATCATACATGTAGTATTATCATATCTCATACTGAAAAATAATTTCAAGAAGTAACAAACATCTAAATTATTAAACTGCACATTCAAAATAATTGAAAGAAATATTAGCAAAAAAAAGAGAAACCACCAAAAAATACAAATCACAATTCAACTACTCGTATAAACTGATGATCAAATAAGGAGGCCATGCATCATTCTGACAACACATAAAGCCTGAGGAAAGACATCACCAGAGAAACATGGTGGGAGGTGAAAAAGGAGCTCTATAAATAATACCCTGGCAGGTGCAAACTTTGAGTAACCTCTCTTACACAGCTATACATTCCAGCTTTCACTGGATGACAAATTTGATTCTGGTCATTTTGGGAAAAACTAAGTGCTGGTATTGAGAGATATCAATGTTTATATTTCACTGAATACTGAAATGATGTTTGAGTTATGATTAACAGATATTTTGTATTAGTGCAACTTAGACTGTACAATGTTTTCTGCAATTACAAAATGTCAGTACAGTACAAACGTCAGAATCAAGTTCCTCCCATATACTGTACAGGTCTGTGTTGTCTCCCTTAGTGATATTTTCAGAAATACATTAAAAAGAATTTTTGTTCAAAATATCAGTGTCTTCGAAAATGTACTGCCGTTTTATTTGTTTTCAAATGATCCAGAAATTGATTTTTAAACTAGGTCAGATTTAAATGGTGCCTTACCAGCTTGTTACGGATATAGAAGAAAATGTCACATTAACATCACATACATCAAGTAATTTGTATTTTTCAAATATCTTTAAACAAAAAATACTAATAATATACGTGACATTACAAGGTCATACTATAAACTAATTATTGTTACAATGATTAAAACTTCAAATTTATGTGATAATCAACTTTTTCATTTTTCGCTTTAAAACCAGAGACAAAATGCTACTTCAACACAAATTTTATGGAATTATTTACCTCAAAACCCCAGGCTGTATAATTGTACAAAAGCAGCTAATTTAGATAAGAAAACTATATAGATATTGACAGGTAGGATAGACTAAAGGGCAAGTAAAATCCAGGGGGAGACAACTTAATAACATCCAGGGGAGACAACTTACAAATGTCTACAGTGCTCCCTGTGAGTGAGCGCAGAATCCAAATGAAACAGAAATCATCATTTCAATAACATGTGGTGTTAATAATAACAAGGAGTTAAGCATATCACTTTCTTAATTACACCTTCACACAATAACAAATAAAAATATTGGAGATCAACTAATGGTAATTTTTTGTTATCATTCTAGGAGTTTCTGCTGATGGTATTACATACAATATGTTTATTAGAAAATGATGATAACAATTTATGAATATTTTTCATCCTATTTTTTTGTGTACTTAACTCAGTGAGGAGAAGTAGGCAGGTAAAGCGTGTAGTGTGAAGGAGTAAAAATACATGATATATTAAAATATTTAACATAAACATTAAAGCACATGGATAGGCTGTGTCAGCTGGACAAAGAGTGTTAAAAACCTTAGGCCTTCATAATACCTCATTCTATAACAGAATTGCTGATTAATTAATAGTTAATATCTCCTTCCTACAGTTTTATCTTAAAAATGTTCCATTAAAGGGGAATAACTCATTAGGAAATTAGCAAAGTGAAAAACTGAATTGAAGGCCAATGATTTCCAAAACAAGCGACATTTTCATAAAACTTTGTATAAAGATCAAATGGAATTCATGAAACCAAAATTGATTTGAAAACATTATCACCATGGGAACAATAACAATGCCATTTAATATCCAATTATAAAAGTAGATCGAGAGAGTAAAGAATTTCAATACAGAAAGATGGACAAACGGACACGAAACTTCAGAAGGGTCACTTTTATCTCCCTTCCAGGATCTGTTGTGTTGACCAAAATATCTCCATGATGGTCATGTACAGCGGGAGTAACAAAGCAATCACTGACAATGAGTTGTTAAAAGGTTTACAAGGACAAGCCAGTGTACACAGCTATATATCACACAGTTATATATCTCGTGATATTTAAGTTATATCACACAACCGCCAAATAATGTCTGTGTAATATGACATGCTTAATAATATTTTTGTGATTTTATAAATAAATGTTCCAAAGTATGAAAAGGTGATTACAAATTTTGTCTTGATGGAAAATAAACGTGAGTTTCATTTACTTCGGTATTTCTCACAAAGGATATGATCTTAGTATCTTACACTTGATGTTGTGTAGAATGTATCACATCCATTGTATAACTTGATATTCTGAAATCATCACAAGACTTGATTTGATTTCTGTATCTAATTAAGTAAATCCATTCTATGTTGGTACCACCATCCAGTCTTCATAGATCTTACATGAGTTTCTAATTCATACAAGATATCTCATGACTTAATCTCTTTGGAATAATACCTGATTACTTTTTTCTATATATAAATAGAGATATCTGACCACTTGTTCTGTATAAAGAGATATCTGACCACTTGCTCTGTATAAAGAGAGATATCTGACCACTTGTTCTGTATAAAGAGATATCTGACCATTTTTCTGTATAATGAGAGATATCTGACCACTTGTTCTGTATAAAGAGATATCTGACCACTTGTTCTGTATAATGAGAGATATCTGACCACTTGTTCTGTATAAAGAGAGATATCTGACCACTTGTTCTGTATAATGAGAGATATCTGATCACTTTTTCTGTATAATGAGAGATATCTGACCACTTTTTCTGTATAAAGAGAGATATCTGACCACTTGTTCTGTATAATGAGAGATATCTGACCACTTGTTCTGTATAAAGAGAGATATCTGACCATTTTTCTGTATAATGAGAGATATCTGACCACTTGTTCTGTATAAAGAGAGATATCTGACCACTTGTTCTGTATAAAGAGAGATATCTGACCACTTGTTCTGTATAAAGAGATATCTGACCACTTGTTCTGTATAAAGAGAGATATCTGACCACTTGTTCTGTATAAAGAGAGATATCTGACCACTTTTTCTGTATAAAGAAAGATATCTGACCACTTTTTCTGTATAAAGAGAGATATCTGACCACTTGTTCTGTATAATGAGAGATATCTGACCACTTGTTCTGTATAAAGAGAGATATCTGAGACTTGTTCTGTATATCTGACCACTTGTTCTGTATAATGAGAGATATCTGACCACTTTTTCTTTTTCTGTATAAAGAGAGATATCTGACCACTTGTTCTGTATAAAGAGGGATATCTGACCACTTGTTCTGTATAAAGAGGGATATCTGACCACTTGTTCTGTATAATGAGAGATATCTGACCACTTTTTCTGTATAAAGAGAGATATCTGACCACTTGTTCTGTATAAAGAGAGATATCTGACCACTTTTTCTGTATAAAGAGAGATATCTGACCACTTGTTCTGTATAAAGAGGGATATCTGACCACTTGTTCTGTATAAAGAGAGATATCTGACCACTTGTTCTGTATAAAGAGAGATATCTGACCACTTGTTCTGTATAAAGAGAGATATCTGACCACTTGTTCTGTATAAAGAGATATCTGACCACTTGTTCTGTATAATGAGAGATATCTGACCACTTTTTCTGTATAATGAGAGATATCTGACCACTTGTTCTGTATAAAGAGATATCTGACCACTTGTTCTGTATAAAGAGAGATATCTGACCACTTTTTCTGTATAAAGAGAGATATCTGACCACTTGTTCTGTATAATGAGAGATATCTGACCACTTTTTCTGTATAAAGAGAGATATCTGACCACTTGTTCTGTATAAAGAGAGATATCTGACCACTTGTTCTGTATAATGAGAGATATCTGACCACTTTTTCTGTATAAAGAGAGATATCTGACCACTTGTTCTGTATAAAGAGAGATATCTGACCACTTGTTCTGTATAATGAGAGATATCTGACCACTTGTTCTGTATAATGAGAGATATCTGACCACTTGTTCTGTATAAAGAGAGATATCTGACCACTTGTTCTGTATAATGAGAGATATCTGACCACTTGTTCTGTATAATGAGAGATATCTGACCACTTTTTCTGTATAAAGAGAGATATCTGACCACTTGTTCTGTATAAAGACAGATATCTGACCACTTTTTCTGTATAAAGAGAGATATCTGACCACTTGTTCTGTATAAAGAGAGATATCTGACCACTTGTTCTGTATAAAGAGAGATATCTGACCACTTGTTCTGTATAAAGAGAGATATCTGACCACTTGTTCTGTATAAAGAGAGATATCTGACCACTTTTTCTGTATAAAGAGAGATATCTGACCACTTGTTCTGTATAAAGAGAGATATCTGACCACTTGTTCTGTATAAAGAGAGATATCTGACCACTTGTTCTGTATAAAGAGAGATATCTTTTTCTGTATAAAGAAAGATATCTGACCACTTTTTCTGTATAAAGAGAGATATCTGACCACTTGTTCTGTATAAAGAAAGATATCTGACCACTTTTTCTGTATAATGAGAGATATCTGACCACTTGTTCTGTATAAAGAGAGATATCTGACCACTTGTTCTGTATAAAGAGATATCTGACCACTTGTTCTGTATAAAGAGAGATATCTGACGACTTTTTTTTCTGCATAATGGAAAAGGCAGGGTATAAGATATATATACAAAAAAATGTTAGGAGTTTCAAAATCTCTGATACAAATTGTACATAAAACTCATTCTTAACATAAATGAGTCCATATTTCTTTGAGACAATTTTACTCTCATTACACTGGATCAAAAAATTTATATTGCAGCACCAAATTTTTGTTTTTATATCAATTTGTAAATAAAACTGATCAAAATCATGCATGATTATTTTTTGATTTGTTGATGTTAATTTCAATTTTCCCATGCATGAATTTGAGTGCAAATAAATCTATAAATGAAAAGATACAGATGAGGATTGTGTACGGGACTATAGTTTTCAGCTCTGTGTGCAAGAACTGTCCAAAACCATGGAATTCTTTACCTGAAGAACTGCCCACATTATTGAAATCTGCAATTCAAAATGTTAATTTGTAAAAATACTGCCAACATTTCAGCTACTTCACCATTGACAAAAATCTGTAAAGTTTGATAAAGAGATGATATCATTAACCAAACCTTATAGCCATATTGTTAAATTTCATCAATATCTACACATTTAATGACAACAAAAGGCAAAAATTTTCCAACAAGAGAAATTTTTGTTTGTCCTGCAATTCAAAAGATCACAAATTAATAAATAAAATATATTGAAAAATTCTGACTAATTAAAAAATATATTTTCTTTGCGCTTTTCAATTCATCTGAAAATAAGAGGGATGTGATACCTGTAGAGTTTAATGGATAACAGGAGTCTGGCTTATTAACAATGATAGAAATGATCAGTACAGACCAATCACATTGAAACCAATAAATATTTCCGGTTTTATCGACAGCCTGCATGCTATTGATAAAAACATAAAAAAACTAACGAAATTTTGAAACTCCTAAATCAGTAAGAGCTTAAATTCCTTACATCCCTCGAAAACATAATAGCACAGGGGTTTGTTAGGTAAGGTTCAGTCCACTATCATAATGTGGGTTGAGAAGGATTATTGATGTCACTATAAAACTCATAATTCCACTGAAAACTTGTCCATATGAAGATTTTACTATTATGATTAAGGTAACAAGTGACAAATAATCAGGCCTGAATTTGATGTACATATCTAGATATTATCTAAACAAGTAAAGAAAAAAGGGAAAAAATTTAAAACTAAAATTTTTCTTATTTCTCTAAAAGCAGCTGAAGCATCAAACTAAGAAACGTCACTAAACTTCTCTAAAATGATTTTATCTCGGGGTGGAATAGATATTTTACCGCAAAATATGAGGAATTTGTAGAATGAAATTAAAATCACAAGGCAATGAAGTTTAAGGTAAAGTCACGTTTACTTAAAATATAACTTGATAACAATAGAATTAAAACTACTGAAAATGCAGTTTTTATATAGAAATACAGTAAAAATTGTTTTTTAAGGTGATTCAAATTTTCATAGTTTCACTGAAAGCTTGACACACAAGGTTCATGTAACGGCAAAACTCATGAAGTAAACAAATGTTTTCTTTATTGTATTTTCATGAGATTTATTTGATCCTCAAAAATTGTGAAAAATAGCCCCCTTCTGGAGAATACCAACTTTTTACAGTATCTATTTGAGGTATTTTCTACAACTAAACAGGCAATAACTACAAGGCCGTATTTTACAGAAAAACAACAACATCACAATACTAATTGATCCAACCCTGAAATTTAATGTTTCACATTCCTGTTTCTGTATGTGCCACAAATTTCACAGAATTTTACAAATGCTTGATAACACTTCATCCACATTACACATCTCTATCTGTAATGACATTTAACAGTTTAAGCAGAGTTACTTCCCTTTATAAATATTGTGATTTCATGTTATCAGTAATGGTAAAATTCTGTAAGACTATCAAATAGGTCATAGAAATCTTATGAAATTAAAAAAAAATGTATAATGAATTGAAAATAACCATTTGGCGCCTAAAAAATCTATGTCTTTAATAAAATGAATTTCCAAGGATTTTTTTCCCGCAGTAGAGTAACACACCATTTGTAATATAATTTGTTGTTAAAACAAGAATCAGATTGTGAAACATTGATAAGACTAATATAACAGAAATATTTCATGCATACTATCTACCAAAACCCACGACCATTCAGGAGGCAGCAATATACAGAAAAAAACTGGTAAATAAAACTAAAAAGTATTAAAATCAAATAAAAGTTATATTAAATAGAGAAAGTCAGGGCAAATAATATAGACCAATTAAGGTAAATAAATCTATCAACTATTTTTACAGCAGTTTTTGACTATCTACAAAACTGATCTTTCAAATGTTTCCAAGATAACCTTTTTAGCTATTTATGAAATAAATAAATTAATTGCCTATTTATACATATAAAAAACTCTTTGGAAAAAAATGTCCAGGATTAAAAAAAAAAGATGTGTCAACATTTCATCAAAAATGTCTGTTAGTTCGAAACTTAATTGACAGTAAAACATTAAGATCTAAATAATGTAAAATAATATTAATTATACTACAGGGTTATCATACATGTAACATAAAGATATCATATACACAGCAAATCAAAAGAATTATTTAACAAAAACCTTAATCAAGAAAAGTTTACTCAAATTGTTCGTAATTTGGGAAACTTTGATCGAAAAATAGCAAATCAAAGTGGAGGAACAAGCTTAGAAAAACAATATCCTAGTTATAGAAACAGATACAGAAAAAGAGCATAAGTTTTAAGTGAGTCAAATCACCCAAAGTAAACTGACTGACACAAACATTACAAAAATCTGGATTTTAGTGAAGGTTTACACACACTTATACATGAATTAAATTGGGTTAGAAAATATTAAATTTTAATATCTAAATTTACAGGCTACAGTATTTGTCTTATAATAAACTATTTCACACATTATCATTAATTGTAAATTTCAAACTAAAGTTTATTTTTGTAGTTCATGTTTTTAAAGCATTGTTGATTATTTTTGTTTATCAAAATGTTTAGAAAACTATAAGTATCAGTATCATTGTGGTATATTTACATTCCATATCGCTGTCTCCTATAAATAGTAACAAACAAATATTCAAAATGTGTGCAATACATAAATACATTCATTTGAGTTAAAAATATAACCAGAGTTATCTCCCTTAGCCCTCTAGTTTATCACCCTTACCTAAGAAAGTGCTCTCTGGTAGTGAAGACGAGGTTTTGTCAAGCAGGTTGCCTAGATACGGAGCCATGGCCAGCTGTGGTACCTGGACTATACAGGCGTATACTAGTATAATGAGTAGCCAGCCTCTGTAGCAACAGAAAAGAATCTTAATAGGCAATGTTCTCACTTCATATCTATATTTAATGATGTCATAATGTGTGATGTCACAAAGTCATGATGTCACAAAGTCATGACATCATAGCTCTGGTAAATTACACCTATGGTGATAACAAAATTTATGTAATGTATGTGATCACAATGGTAACAGAAAAGTTATGTGATAAGTAGATATTCTCATTAATGGACACAATGTTGAAATTTTCTCTCAATCTGAAAAGGGACACTGAAAACCTATTCTTGGGGTGTAATGCTTCAATACTAACTCGTTTCTCTGTGTTAATACAATGTTAGTTTTGTGAAGTCTGATTGTCTGATTTAATGTCCTTAAGGGTAATTTAATGAAGTGCCAGGTGTTGGAGGAAAGCCAGAGTTCACACAAAAAGAGTCATTACACTGACTTATGACACCTGACGTACGAAAATTACAAAATCTATTGAATTATAGGGTTAGTGAACCTCCACATCTAAAGTTAAAACATTTCTTTCAATTTTTGGTTTTTCGTTAACTACTTTACTGGTTTCAAAATTTAGGACTTTCCTATCTCAGACGAGTCTTAGAGGTATGAAATGGATATATGATGTAGTAAATTTATTATGCAGCTCTACTGTATCTGATTCTAAAATCTGTACTGAGAGGTACCATTCACTTAAGTGTTTTTTTTACAATCATTGACCTTAAATTGGTCTCAAGAAATTATGGTCCAGAGTAACTGAAACCAGTTTAACGAAATTAGCTTGTCAACATTGGTCAGGAATTCAGTCATTACAATATCAGATTTCTGTTTCTGTGACCTTGACTTTGAATGAATAACCTTGACCTTAAAAGGTTGATGCCATAGGACAACTATCTATAGCATTACAAACCGAAATGGTCGATGTTTCTTTTGATTGTTTCATCAAACTTTCCATTATATATGAAGACTTACAGATTACGACTGACTTTTCCACGTCCAGTCATTTTGCCCAGAGTGGCAGGTATGGCTGTCCACACTGGAAACGAATTCATCAGAAGACTGAAGCCTTTCTCCCAATCCTGGAAAATAGAAATATGAAGATAATAAGCTTCTATTTACGATTTTTTCAAAAGAAATCTGCTTAGTATGAGAAGTAAGTAAATGATAACAGCACTGATTTCAATATTTATGTGACGATGTCTGAATAAACAAATGTTTTATATCAATCAACACCTGTTTTATATTTATCATTAAAGGCAATATTTGGATGTAATTACAATGTTAATTTGAATATCAATATCATCATAATGAAGGATTTGAATCTCTCAAAATTGTCCAGCAAATACCTATTTGGCACAATAATAGGCTAAAGTTTGGGTGATTAATTTTTTTAAAACAAATTTTCGCTTTTGTTTTGTTTTCGTTTTCAGAAAACGGCAGCTTAAACCGAGATTTCCATCCCTTATATCAAGGTGAAAACTGAAAATGATAAATAGAACCATACAATACGTTTGGGTTTTAATTCCTGGTCATTTAAAAACTAATTCAACATTTCTATTGGTACGAATGTCAACAAAACACAATGTTTACCGTGATCAGTTTTCTATTGGTACGAATGTCTACAAAACCATCAAAGTTGAGGTTGTAGAATCGGCCGAGGAACTGGTTTGAAGCAGCCTTATCCAGGTTCATATAGCCGTAAACCAGAACAGCAAAAAGCGTCCCAAGAAATCCAGGGCACATCACAAACAAAATCTGGAATCAAAGGGAGGTAACTGTGATATATCAGATCAAAGGGAGGTAACTATGATATATCAGATCAAAGGGAGGTGACTGTGATATACAGAAAGATAAATGTTTTTATATACACATTTTTATATATATACAGTATGATTACAAAGACCAAATCAACAATGTAGTTCCTGTCATTTTCAGGCCTAGTAGTCATCTTCAAGTGATTGTTTCCAATATAGACTGTATATATCATTGTCCTTCCCCCTACTTTGAGGCAGACCTTATGTGTTGGGTTCCTGGGCTCATTGTAAGGTAAAGAGGATGATTTTTTTTGTGCAGATATCAAACAAGAGAATATACCATAATTTAATGACAAAATCAGAGAGAGATCAACATAATTCAAGCTGTTGTATAAAGGATGTGTTTATTTATCTTCCTTTTGATGTTTACTTCCACCTTAATGCTTATCTAAGTAGAAAGTTAAAACCAAAAATCCTACTTGGATTGCTGACAAACATAAACTGTCATAGCTATTCAGCCAATCAGACGACTTGATACATACCACTCCTAAACATTTATGTATCCTACAACCAATCAGAGAATGTGATACATACCCAGCCACACACACGCCCACCAAATGCCACAATGAGGAACACTACCAGCCAGACAACTGTCAAGCCGACTGGAAGTACGGAGAAACCAATATCCTGGAATGGAGCAGTGTTATTCCACACTGGAAAACCACGGATGTCCGATATCTTATCTGTGATCTGAAGATACTGAAGGCTAGAGAGAGAGGGAAGATGGATGAAAAATAAATTCATTGATAAAATATTTTCACAAACAGAAATATTTGTATGGACCAAATAAGAACTCAGTAGTGCTACTAAACTTGTGTGTATCCCTGAGCTTAAGTTTAACATAAGATAATACAATAGACTAATAAAACTAGAAATATGAGTCCAACCACAAAATTCTGGTATTACACACTAACAGATAAATACATATATATAATGTATATAGAAAATTCTCAAAGGAGCATAACTCTTCCACAGACGAAAACACTTGACCTACAGAAAATTCTTGTTTTTTATCAATAATCAAATTTGAAAAAAACTTGGTTTTCAAATAACTTACTCATGCAGCTCACAATGTAACTGTACAATCATTAATTACTGTAGATATTTTACAACAAATTACTACTTACTTAAAGAATTCTTTCTCTGGTGTTTGTCTTGCAACATCAGATGTCTGTCCACTGTAATCGTAAGAAGAAAAGAAATGATAAAAAATCTGTGGTGAAGAAGGAGAAAATAAACGATAATAACTTTATTACAGGCATGCCAATACAATCATACATATTTCGTTTCATTTGATTAAAAATTTTATAAACAGCCATGACCTTTCTCTTGCCACCTGAAACACAAACTTATCATTTCACACAAGAACAATGTTTAAACCATGGCTGATAAAGACATGAAATAACTACAGCACTGTGACCTAAATATGGTTTACCATTGTCCAAAAAATAGTAACAGTAATAGTAATCTTATGGGCCTAAAACACAAACTCAAGGCATTCTAATGGCTGATGTGCATTGACCTCAAAATCAATTTGGAATGTAACGTAGCAGTTTGTGATGGACACTTCGTCAGGACGCATGTGGGTAATACATGTACTAAAATATACTTCATTTATCAAAATCATCATGGCCTACAAATATAAAATGTTGGCAAATATATTAAATTCTCCTTGTTTCATATCACAGTGGCGAAGGGCAATCGGTTTAACTCCATATTCAATTGGTCAAAATCAAATTGGTTTTCCAAGGATTGATAACCTAATTGCCTGACATTATATTCATAGAAAGTGAATGCATTCCTTGTTGCAGTAATATTTTCTCTTTTTACAAAAAAAAAAAAAAACTTTAACCCAAATTGCCTTTCTTACCTAGAATTTACATTTGAATAAATATCATTCACATCTGACATCTTTATTATGTATGATATAAAATTTTGCTAAAACTCATGAAAATATTAAGGTACTGATGATCAACTATAACAAATTACAGTCAATTATTGCATCAGATGAGATTGACCAATCAGATAATGGATCAAATCCAATCTTCGTCCAATCACAGTAAGAACTGAAGATGCCCTCAGCTGTTGTAAACTTGGTACATAATACTCTGATAAAGGACAATATCTCATGTGCCTGAGTACAAGATTGAGGAGAAAATTGAATAAAACAAAAGTATGAATGTTAGCAAACACCTTCATAAAGAAACAAAGTGACCTTGACCATTTAGTTTCAAACCTGAAAATCAATCCCTCACAAACATGCACAACCTTAAAGTTTTTGTCCAAATTTTGGCCCCATTCCTAATTACTGTGGGCGTTGTTAAAAGTCATTACAATTTACATCACTTTAATGTTATTTTGTATGTGAAGACACAAGAACAAGCAATGTTCCTTATTTTCTACCACTTTGGCCTGGAAGAATTCAGAAACATGTACAGATTTTATCTCAATGACCGTTGTTATCCCACAAAAAATTATGTATTAAAAGTAAAAATTAATGCCAAACTTTCGCCTCTGAAAGGAAACTTTCTGTAAGGAAGTAGAAGTACAATGCCCTGTTTTGTAGTGCTCCTCCACAGCAGATTCTTCAAAATCCTTTTCATAAGATTTATTTTCCAAAGTTACATCAAACCCTGTTGTAATGCCACCTGTTAAACCGCTAAACCTGTATACCACCATCAATGTTATCAGAACGGATTTCCCTCTAAGTTAATACATCCGCTGTACCGGCAAACTGGTTATACCACCAAAATCACAAAAAACAGAATGTGGCATTATACTGAGGGTTGAGTGTATTGTGAAATACAATTAGTCAACAGTTAGACAGAAACATTCTGTGAAATCATGTCCTAATAGGAAGGATGTGGGATGTATATTAATGCACCAATAAACCTTAAAAACTGGCTTAGTGGCTTCAACAGTCACTTTGAGGCAAACAATACTGAATATAAAGGTTAAAGGGTAGGTAGCTTTCAATTGTCATGAAAAACAAATTGTGACATTGATGATAGTAAAACTTAGGTGGTAGGTTTTAAGCCTTGGGGGTCAAACAGTGTCAATACATGCATACCATCAAAACTCTCATCCTATGCTAATAATTCTTAACAAGTTATTTCCAATAGAAAATAAAAACTTTATTCTCAAACATCCAATTTTCCTATAAAAACAATAGTAAACTTCACCCCCTTCCCAAGGGAAAATGTGAGATGCCCCGTGGATCATGAAATTCAGTTTTGGTCAAATATAAAAACTCTGTAAAATCAGGACCACCCTAGGAACATCAGCGATAGGACTCCAAAACCGTTAGAGTGTGTCGAGGGAAAAATGTCAAATCCAAATAGGGAAAATTTTGCGAAAGGCTTCGTAAACAAATCTCCTGTTAATTGCTGTAACCTAAAAATTAAGACCACTAATATTTATAGATACTAAATAAGAAAGATTTGGGATGTATTCATATAGACATAGAGGACTTTCAAAAGCTTCAGCTCTTAGTGGTCAGATGCTGATGTGGTAATACAGCTTAAGCTTACAGTCAGGTTAACTGACATGGTGAATATATGTTTAATTTATCAATTATTAGTCTACATAAACCTACACCATCACTATAGTGTAAAATCACAGATAGTGCTGTCGAGTGGCAAACTCAATATGAGCTATACATGTGCATTGTTTAGTAATAAAAATTATTTATGCTTAAAAAAAGGAAAATATTGTTTATGGACATCTAATCAATGTACAATATTAAGCATAAAAGATTAATTTAAAAAGTTAGCAAAAAAATTTTAAATTGTGTAAAATTTTAAAAACAAAATGTATATATATGTGTATTTAATTGAAGAATTAATGTATAAAATGATAATCATGCAAAGAAATTATTCAGAATATTGAAAGTTGAGGAAATGTAAAAATTGTTGCCTATCTATGCTGCTAGAACTTTAACAATATCAGTGTCTCTTTCTATTTCAAATAATGGTAAAAAAGTGTAATGTATAACAGTTCTCTCCATTCGATATGTTTTTTGCAGTAAGCATAAATAAGGACAGCCACTTTTTGTAATATGAAGCTCTACAAGTATAAACAATGAGTTACCTCCCTTAAATATACTGCTACAAGAGTTGACAATGATTTATCTCCCTTAATTATACTGCTATAAGGGTGAATAATGATTTATCTCCTGTGAATATACTGCTACAATTGTTGACAATGAGTTACCTCCCTTAAATATACTTCTACAAGAGTTGACAATGAGTTACCTCCCTTAAATATACTGCTACAAGAGTTGACGATGAGTTACCTCCCTTAAATATACTGCTACAAGAGTTGACAATGAATTACCTCCCTTAAAATATACTGTTACAAGAGTTGACAATGAATCACCTCCCCTAAATATACTGCTACAATTGTTGACAATGAGTTACCTCCCTTAAATATACTTCTACAAGAGTTGACAATGAGTTACCTCCCTTAAATATACTGCTACAAGAGTTGACAATGAGTTACCTCCCTTAAATGTACTGCTGCAAGAGTTGACAATGAATTACCTCCCTTAAAATATACTGCTACAAGAGTTGACTATGAATCACCTCCCCCAAATATACTGCTACAATTGTTGACAATGAGTTACCTACCTTAAATATACCGCTACAAGAGTTGACAATGGGTTACTTCCCTTAAATACACTGCTACAAGAGTTGACAATGAGTTACCTCCCTTAAATATACAGCAACAAGTGTTAATATTGAGTCAACTCCCATATATATAACAACTACAAGAGTAAATAATTAGTAAACTACTTTAAATACACTGCTACCAGTGTTAAGAATAAATTATCTCCCTTACAAGTAGGTACAATGAGTTACCTCCCTTAAATATACTGTTTCCATCACATTCAGACCAAAATTTTACCCAACACAAAACACACTTTACGGCAGCAAAGACAAAAACTGGAAGCAACACAGAGAACACCATCTGGCAGATCTAACCCACAGAACATTAGTGTGTTACTTACGACAATCGGTTGTAATACACTCCCTCATTCTGAGAGTGAACACTGTAAGTAAAAACAAGGCAACTATGAGGCCTATGCTGTTAGTGTTGAGTAATTGACAAACCTGCTGATATCAATACTAACCTAACTACAAGGCCAGTGTAATGTAGTTACATTTTAAATAGTCCACACATTCCACGATTAGATGATTAACCTCGTACTGAACTCATTGATCAGGGTTTTTTAATTGGTTTCATGCTAACTTTCCACAGTTATTTAGATTTTGAGTAAACCTGCCAAAATTGGTAGCGACATTTATTGTGCAATAAGCCTGACAACCGACATTCTAATTCTGTTACAATGCCAGATGACAGACGTATTGCAGGACACTGAAATAGCATTTATATTTTGTAATTCTTCAAAACAGTATATACAATATCTGGGCTTATTACCAGGCAGAGTATTGCAGTTGGATTTATGGAAAACAAGTAACATTTCTGATACATTCTCTAGCATAAAACATACAAAAATACTGATATACTGAGCTTTCACATTTTTCTCACTTTAATTTGATTTTACTTGAAGTTTGACCAATAGTCAATTGTAGTTTTAAGTGATTTTAAACTCCAGCATTTTAAGTGTAATATTGTATTTCAGACACACTTGGAGCCTGAAATTTGTAGAATTAACACAAAAGCTCTTGGTGGTCCACTTACGTGACAGGTAGATTCTCCACACACTTGTCTGTGTTCCATGCATTACTACAGCCTTCCCATAGATAAGGCTCCTGGATCATAGAAATCACAGCGTACATCCCAAAGTGACACACCAACGGTGCAAAGTACACACAGGTCAGGAACAGGTCAATCAGCAAGGCCACGCCTACTCCTATAATAAAGGTCAGAGAATAATTAGTAGGGACACACCTACACCTGTAACCAAGGTCAGAGATTTATCAGTGAGGTCACACCTACTCCTGTAACCAAGGTCTGAGATTTATCAGTGAGGTCACACCTACTCCTGTGACCAAGGTCAGAGAATAATTAGTAGGGTCACACCTACTCCTGTGACCAAGGTCAGAGAATAATTAGTAGGGTCACACCTACTCCTGTGACCAAGGTCAGAGAATAATTAGTAGGGTCACACCTACTCCTGTGACCAAGGTCAGAGAATAATTAGTAGGGTCACACCTACTCCTGTAACCAAGGTCTGAGAATAATTAGTAGGGTCACACCTATTCCTTTAGCCAAGGTCAATATGGTCACCTCAAACACTTCAGCCCTCTTCAATTTACATTTTTGATGATATAGATAAAACCTTGACGAAAACCTCTTCACTGACTTGGAAGATAATTGACTATCTATTTTCTATATTGAATCAAAAAAGTTCAAACATTTAAGTCAATCTCCTTTCAAAAGTTCTGCAATAATGATCTCAATATCAGTTCTGTGAGCCCACCATACTACAATCATCCACTGAAAAATCTAGGCCTGGACTCATTAAATATATAGACTTACACTATATATACATCTACAAGTATCTATGTTTGTCAGGTGGAGAAGTGGCTGTACACAAGCATTTAACCTAGGAGACCAGGCCCAAGTTACACAAAGGTTCAAGTTTAACAAGTGGTTAGTGAAAAAATCTTTATTCTTGTGACTAAAAAAAATTCAAAGCAAAATAAACCCTCGAAATATTTCAGTTCAACTTGTCTAAACAAACTTGTCAAATGATAAAGAATATTTCCTAATGTGTTAAATTCAGGTCTGAAAATTTTCACTGACCACAGGTTATATCTAACTGGTCTTTGAACAAGAGACCCCGGAGGCATCTTGGTGCCCTCCATGGTTTGATCTTTAAAAGTTGGATCTTTTCCCGTCTTTGCTTTTAATGACAAGTCATGTGAACATTCCTTTGCAGAAAATAGCATTGATAAGCTTTACCTGTCAAATCTAAAATGGCTGCCTGGAAGCCTTGAAAGACCAAAGGGAACATATGTTTACAGACGGACTGACGGACCATGGACCACGGACACAGAGCGATTTGAATAACCCAGGCCAAGGGGTTCAATACCAGGATATGGAGTTAATTTGTACCTGACCTTATCACGTGAGATTCTCTGGGATACTTCCCACAGTTAAACCCCTCATCCACTTCCATCTTGGGTCCAACAAGAATTGTTTCACAATTGGTTTACACTTTTGATATCACTAAATGTAAATATTTCTTAAACTATATATACACAGTATATATAGACAACACTCACCCTTTGCTATTGGAAGATATCTGGAGAAGAGACCCACAATGCCTTTCTGTTCGTATCCTCCCAGTTTGTGTTGTATGAACATCGGTGGTATACATAATATAAACAGGAACACATACAGGGCGAGTAGGGCCATACCTGTCAACAACAAATCATGTGATCAAAATAATTCACTCTGATTGGACAGAAAATTATTGTGTTTGAGCAATGTTATATCTGTTGGCAAAAAAAAAAAAAACATGTGATCAAAATAATTCACTCTGATTGGATAGAAAATTATTGTGTTTGAGCAATGTTATATCTGTTAGCAAAAAACCCATGTGATCAAAATAATTCACTCTGATTGGACAGAAAATTAATGTGTTTGAGCAATGTTATATCTGTTGGCAAAAAACCATGTGATCAAATTAATTCACTCTGATTGGACAGAAAATTAATGTGTTTGAGCAATGTTATATCTGTTGGCAAAAAACCATGTGATCAAATTAATTCACTCTGATTGGATGGAAAATTACAGGGATATTCTGCACAGGTTGTTATTACATAGTGTGCTTTGAAAAAAAAAAATTTAAAAACATCTATTTATGTTCTGACGGAAATCGTTTAAAAAAACATGATATCTCATTTGTGGAAATTCTGTATAGATCTAGCGAGAGGGTTTTACAAATGTTCCCGCAGCCCTGATAGCATCATAACAGGTTTGTGGTGATATAAACCAAATGAAGCAATGAAATTGTAATCCCAGCAGAATTTTTAATGATCTAATACACACCTATGTATTTACCAAATACTCTGTATAAAATCTACCATCCAGTGACATTTCAATTGCGGAATTCCCAATGAACCATATTTAGATGGTTTTGCGGAGAATACTACCACCAATTTCACCTGTCCAAACTGACCACAGGACAGATAAATTGATGCTAACAATACTGAGAACAGTCATTAGAATGAGTTTTTTAAAAGGTTCAGAACAGCCAGAAATTTTCACAATTTTGAGCAATGTTTTATCTGTCGTCAAAAAAATCATGTTATCAAAATAATTCACTAGATTGGATAGAAAGTTAATGTTTGATCAGGCAATAGCAGTAGATAAACAGTGATAGAGACAACAATTGTTATAAATTTTTACATTCCAGTATAAAACTAATTGAGCTGAAGACAAAAGAAATTATAATCAATTATCTTAATCTTTATCATAATGATATCAGTTAAAAGCTAAACTTAAACATTAAAAATCTATAAATAACGACCCATTAACACTCCTCTTCTCCATCTGTATCAATTAAACAAACAACCCTTCACAGTTAAGGTAGACTATTCCAACAGTTATAATGACCAGTCAATTTACAGTTACAAGGGAGGTCAGGTTAAACCAGCTTGTAAACTGTGGTAGTCATGTACCTTAGACCTGACATGATTACACTGTTTCCAGTGATTCTGTCGACGTTTGTAATTATTTTTTGGTTCCCGTCTCCTACTTTGAGGAATAACTCAATAACCAGTAATTACAGGTCCCTATGTGGAGAACACCAACTGCCAAAGCCTGCACCAAACCACCGTCTCATTGGTTAGAGCCAATGCCAAGACACACTCTCATTGGTCCAAATTAAGTTACACCTACAGATCCATTGGCCATAAATCTTTGTAGTAAATCTTCAGCTGAAATACTGTTTTGATGGTGATTAAAATATTTTCTTTTCCCATACAAAAACACACCAATGTTATGCCTGTATAAGGTGATATGGAATACATGGTAATTGAAATTCAAATACAGAATTATCATTTTAAGAAAAAAATCATGGCAATATTTAGGGTCATGAGTTTTCTAAAATATGTCCTTGGAATAACTTGATTGTATAAGTGAAAACAAGATTAAACAGTTGGACCATTGATTTGGGAGTATATCTGCGTTATATTACACAAAGGAACAATGGACTATTGATTATAGAAGAGAAGTTCTTATAACACAACCAGTAGAAGATTAGAGTGTGACGTTTCGATGACTACACGGTCACCTTCATCTTATAACACAACCGGTAGAAGATTAGAGTGTGACGTTTTGATGACTACATGGTCACCTTCATCTTATAACACAACCAGTAGAAGATTAGAGTGTGACGTTTCGATGACTACATGGCCACCTTCATCTTATAACACAACCAGTAGAAGATTAGAGTGTGACGTTTCTATGACTACATGGCCACCTTCATCTTATAACACAACCGGTAGAAGATTAGAGTGTGACGTTTCGATGACTACACGGTCACCTTCATCTTATAACACAACCGGTAGAAGATTAGAGTGTGATGTTTCGATGACTACATGGTCACCTTCATCTTATAACACAACCAGTAGAAGATTAGAGTGTGGTGTTTTGTTGACAACGCAGTCACCTTCATCAGAAAAGACAAATGACCAGTGTGGAGTGTACTAGCACTGACGTATGTAGTGTATGAGATGGGACAGAATCGATTCTCTTTTCCAGCTGTACTATAATCCTATAAATTCACAACAGTGCATTGTTTACCATCTGGTGTAATTTTTGGTCTATAATCTATTTACCATCTCGTCTCATTATCTTCTTCCTTAGTGTACATACGACTACAGTACAGCTGAAAAAATTGGTCAATACTCTAATCTTCTACTGGTTGTGTTATAAGAACTTCTACTCTACTGACATTACCAATCTGAAGAAAATGTTCCAAAATATCCAGGCTAGTGGTTAATTGTTTGAAAGACTGCACGAATATTTCAGAACAAACGAAACCCCAACCTGACGACTAGAGGGAAATAATCTTATACTGAGACTCTGTAATAATGACATATAATCTGACTCCAAACAATCAGACTCAAGTCACAATCAATCTCAGGAAAAGAGATATCAAATCTGTGGATTGCAATATATAAGGTGATAAGCTGGCTGGAACTCATCCCAGTCACACTGTTACCACTGGCACACTCTACAGGAAAATCTACAAAGTTAATTTTGAATCATTTGATTGTCAGGGACTGATTAGGATCGTCTGTTATAAAAATACGACAGATCAATGAACTTATCCTGCTGCTGAAGTTTTTCATTTCTATTGAAAACTACAGATAACAGAGAGGTTAGATACAGCATCTGTGTTGGTTATAATCCTCCAAATATGATTTCTTTATGTTGTACCTTACTGATACTTTAAGAAGATTGCCTGTCACCAAATCTAAAATTTCAATCATGGAAAGTTGGAATTTTAAGAAGGATAAACGCTATAACAAAAATGGTTAAAAAGGCAATTGTGAACAATGAGAATCTGTTGACAAAATGTATTAACAAAAATCAATACAGTTCTTTGGTAGTTGATGCATTCAACTCTAAATATAGTTTAATATTGAATTTGGATTGCGATCGGAGCAAATCGGTATTGATTAACTTGAAAACACAACAGGGACAGTATTTTCGAGATATCTGGTTGCGTGTAACAGTGGTAACAATGTCACCTTTCTGTTTCACCTAGTGGACAGGGGTTCGAATCCTGGACATGAAAAGTTAAAGGGTCACCTGCTTGACAGAGTGGGTTTTCCCTATATATACCTGTTTCATCCGACAATGAGATCACGATCTCACATCTGACCCAACAAGAATGATTATTATATGTTGAAATAATTGGTTTTCACATTATTAATAAAGTTTATATAGTATAACAGTAATTTCATCAAAGAAATATCTACCTCAACATGAGAAGTTAAAGGTTTGCTAGTCTGAAATTATTCACTGAAAACCTGACTGGACCATTAATTCTTTATTCTTCTTAAGGGAGGTAACTCACAGTTTCACTTTTGTGTATAAAATACAACATTTTATCAGGTTATGAATAGAGTGAACATATTTCTGTTAATTTTGTGGCATCCAGAGAGTAAATAACAGTACAGATCAACACATCTACAACACAAGCTGAATAGTTGTTTTAATGTCAAACAAGTGTTATATACTCATAATTTGTGTCTAATATTGGGCTGAAATCCACAAAGTCCTTCTTGAATGAAGAGAGACAGCAAAAAAACTAATCCTCTACAATAATGTACAAAGGATATGTTGACATCATCCCTCTGTGAACAGTCAGTTTAAGGCAGAGTGTCCCTGTGATAGCTGGTTGCTATCTTACTGAAAGACATACAGGAAACCCATCACATGCCAACACAATTAGGTTAAACTGACTTGCCCAAGGACACGACCATGAGAGTACAGACGACCATGAAAGTACTATCTATTTAATACACCATTTGTATCATAATGGGTAGTGTAACTTTAGGGTATCTACCGCATCAAATTGTCTTTAAACAATGTAGGGTTCAAAGGTCATGCAACATTTCCAGTGCACTTTCTAGCGCCAGTATTTTTTAAACAAATATTGACTTGTCGGTAATGGGAAAGTGCCTGCATTACAGGCTCTTGTAGGATATTGATTGGTGAGAAACTAGGTGACAGTATTGAGACTTTCAGAGCACCAGTAGAAACAGTGGTCCCCTATATCCTAAGTACACAAATATCTCTTACCTTCACTGTGTAGGGGCTCAAAAAGCAATAACAGATGTGTTAAATTGTCTTTTTCTATTCAATTATTGACTTAAAATCATCTACCAGTAGGTAAAATAGCCAAATATTTTAATTGTCAGCTCTGCCACTGAAGAGCCATAATAGTGGACATAAAACCCATCAAATAAATTTGAATCTTCAGGAAAAATTTCTGCACAAATGTTTGGGATGTAGAATTGAACCTAATTACCCATGATCAATAATGCCTGTAAACGTGGAAATTTAAGGGTTGGAGAAGTTTACACTAAATAACCAAAGTCATTCAGCCGTGTCAATTTCATCCATGGGTATGAATCTGTGACCTTTACATACATATCATAATATACATCAAATATGCAAAGGCACAAAAATAACCCCTGCATGTACAGTTTGTTAACTGAAATCGTGAAATCCCTCCCACGGAAATAATAACAGTACAGTCTGAGGATTCTGCATTCTCCTATAGTTTCAGCCTGGCATTAGGAAACCTTTGGTAGGTTTAAAAATAAGTGTTTAAAAAAGGGAATTTATTGCACTTTTTAAAGAAGTTAACAAGGAATTAATGCTGAATATCAACAGA